AGAGAGAGAGAGAGAGAGAGAGAGAGGGAGAGACTGATTTCCTTTCCTGCAGCAGTCTGTGTCAAAGTTTGAGCTGGCCAGTGTTTGTGCTGCCCCTTCCCTCTCTGTGTCCTCATTATTCTTACTGTTTACTTCTTGTTTCCCCTGCCTATACACCTCTTGTTTCCCCTGCCTATACACCTCTTGTTGAATGTTAGCTTTGCGGTCTGTATAGCTTGTCTTCTGCTTGTTCTGTTACTATAGTGATCCTTGATTGGTCCTGGCGAAAGGCGCTCTCTTCTTTTTTTTTCCTTTTTTTTTTGGTGCCGGAACGACATAGGGGGAACTGTTGCTTTTTCTTCCGTCACCCTTACTATCGTCATCAACCCCCTGGGGCAGTGCTACTGACTAAAGTGTCTTTAGGCCATTCCCAAAGGGGGGACATTAACCAAGTTCTTATGCACAGTAGAATTGTACTTGTAAATTAGCTGATTCATCAATATCATGCTAATAATAATTGTGCCTTAACTTAACTGATACAGGGAACTACTGCTTTTTCTGTCCTCATCCTTACTATTGTCATTTCCCCCCCCCCCCTACTTCTTTTGTATGTTTGTCACTCTCTTATTACCCGCTATTTCCGGGGTGCCTTGATAGTCGAAGCAGACTTTGTGCTGTTGAGGCCAGAGAGGTGAGCAGAGTACGCCCGATTCCCCGTTTGGACTTCTCTTTTGATATCCACCCCTTGGCGCTCATAATGACCTTATGCAGTTGTGAGCGCCGTAAAACCTTACTTAAAGTAAGAATTTTATTTTTCGTACATACATGCAGGGCACTTTGACTTTTTTTCTTTCTTTTGTGTTTTTTCTTGTAACTTATAATATACTCGGGGGACGCTATCTTCCCATTTCTTCGTCGTACTCTCTTGTAACACGTTTAATCTTCGGCACTTAATATGACCTTATTGTGTTGCACGTGCCGTAAAACTCCTACTAAAACTAAAACTAATGTGGTACCCCTTTTCTTCTCACATGACAGGTGGGTTTTTTTACGCCCCCTTCAACACAATTGAAATGTTTTCTCAGATGGTGATCTCGACCAACCCTTTGAACTAATTTTTTAAAAATTTGTTTTTTTTTTCTTCTGTTTCAGGTGAGAAGCTGGAACAAAAGCAATGTGAGGGCCTGGAGGAGGTTCTGAGGAGGGTGCAGTTCAAGTTATTGGATTTAGAAGCCAGCCATTTGGACGATGAGGTGAGTCTTTGGTGGCCTGTGCTTGTCTGTCTGTCTGTCTGTCTGTCTGTCTGTCTGTCTGTCTGTCTGTCTGTCTGT